TGATTTGTGACACACAGTGCTTGGGGCCTGAGAACCCAGCACATCCTTGTCTGGGAGACTGAAGGAACAGTCATCTGTTTGACTGGTGTGGAATGATTTCCTCTCTGGCTGATGCACAGGTATTCCAGGTGATGATGAGAGCTACTCTGCCACCCTAACAATGACAACCTTCTGGAGAAGGTGGTGACCACTCAAGGAAAACTCCCAGAGTTAACCTGGCACTGTACCACACAAACCAATGGAAGTGGGAGCAGAAACCTCCTCTCCCACATGCTCAGGCTATACAGGTTGGAGGATAAGCAAAGAACAAAAGGTTTTTCCACACCCAGTTGCCCTTGGGCTCAGCCTGCAGAGCAGGACAGCAGCTTGGGGCATCCGTGGTGAGACCATCTGAGTGACACGGGGCTGGAGCAAACTGCATGCTAAGGCTGATTTCACCAGCTACCAGTGAAAGAATAACTTTCTGTCACTGTAGATTTGAAGTTGGCAAGCTCTTAGCTGCAGAATCTGTGACCAATTTACTCTCTGCTCCCCCCGAAACATCTGGTATTGTAAAATCCAGTTCTCCACTCCCAGCCAAGTAGTGGAAGTGCATTGGTGCCTGGACCAGTTGCTGCTGTCCAGATCAACTCCCTCTTCTTAGAAAACTTACAGCTAAACCATCAAGTCCTTTAGCATTAATTAGTGTGAATGCTCATCTTGTTTGCCTTCAGGCAGGAATGAAAGATAAGTCATCTTAGGGGAAACACTTTGGATGGGAAATCAGTACAATTTCAATTTTACCTGTTTAAAACTCAATGTATCTCCCCAAGTTTTACAAGAATTCAAACAGATGTGCTTAAAACTTTAGTCAAAAAACAATTCTGTCCCCTCATACAGGCAAAGTTTTGAAGAGAGAAGACATCTTCAGCCACCAGCCAACATTCAGTGCCTGGCACCCCACAGAGGAGTACAAACCTCACTGGATGTGATGCCAAGCAACAGTCAATGGTAAGTGCACGCCATGAACTTTGTCTCCTCAACCACTAACAGTGTGAGTGTTCACCAGGGTAAACAAATACAAAGGTAAAACCCAAAGAACCTTAAAAATATTTGATTAGAGGGAGCACAGCACAAGGTTAAGATGTTTCAGGTTTCATGCAAATCAGTTAAAAAAAAAGAAGCAATAATAGAGTTTCTTGTGAATTTTGTTAATTGGCACACACTCCTCGGGACAGGGCAAGGATCCTCCTCCTGCCAAGTCCCATGAGAAAAACCCCTGAACTTCCAAGTGGAGTTGCTCCTCCAGCCATACTCCCAACCACTGACCTCGGATTTACACAGTACTAAAACTGGCAGGAGGGATGACTGGGACATTTGTAGGCTGCCAGAAGCCTCTTAAGTGTGAACTTTAAGCACAAATATGCCCTTAATTAACTAGAAAAGAGCTGGGAAAAGAAGCCAAAACTGAGACACACCCTAAAAACCATTCCCAGCTGGAATGAGAATCCCCAGCCTGAGCCATCTCTGATCTTAGTCACACATGGGAAACATGGCAGCTTAAAACCAAAACTCTAGCTGGATTTTCTGCAGCTGGTTAGAGCAGATATAAATAACAGGGAGTGTGAGAAACAGCCCAAGCTGTCTGATGATGTCATGGGGTGACACTGCCTGTCCTGCACTCCAATCCTCGTGCTGGGAAGGCAGCCCTGAACTGTGGGGCTTACAAGATTGACAGAAACACAGGGCCTGGGTACCTCATCAGGCATTTACCTGCAGAGATGTGTGCAGGCACTGGGTTGGGTGGCCTGGAAGAGCTAACCAAGAATTCCAAGTCCCATTAATGCTACACGAGCAAAAGTTTGCTCCGTGGCTACTTGGCTGTTATCAAGAGGCTGAAAGTGCATTTTAACTGTGGGTTTCGTTAGATTTTCCTCATAGTTAGGAATTTCTCTTGGATATCTGAACGTCTCTGTGGTTTTGGTCGCCCTTAGCTGTGGTTACTGTGTCAGCAGGGAAAAGGAGCAGGCATGGATGGGCACTTGGAGAACGTTAGGTAAGGCACAGAGTGATGTATGCTCTACTGACCCGAAGGTGCAGAGAAAAAACCGTGGGCAGGGTGAGTGGGGAAGGAGATGGGCACAGGACATGGAGAGAAAGCAAAGAAGTGTTACCTGCTGCATCCTGCACTAAGGGAACGTCACTTTTTACTGGAGCTGAGGTGGCAATGATGGGCGAAAACCCAGCGGTGCTGGCGGCAGGCATGACAATGCCTCTGCTGGCTCCCAGAGTGGCACTGAGCAGGGAGTATGAGAGACAAGAAGGAGAGAAGAGATAGGGCAGGGTGGGAAGGGGAGACCTAAGCAGGGCTTGTGAGAAAGATGGAGGCAGAGATGGTGGTGGAGGTTGTGGTACATTGAGGGTAGCATCATCGGCAGCAGCAGTGGCAGTAGAAGGAACCAGGCAGCCTGGAGAGTGTGGAGAGAAAAAAAAAAAAAGGCAGAAAAAAAAAACCAAAAAAAAAAGAAGAAAAAAAAATAACAAAAAGAAAAAACACAACAAAAACCAACCAAAACAAAACGAGAAAACAAAAGAACTGAAATGAGAACCCAAGAGCTGAAGCAATATGATGAAAATGGAAAATACATTCACAAATGTATGAAACAGAACTGTAACGGAGAAGAAACAGAAGGTGAGGAACTGACAGCACCAGGAAGAGCAGGGTGGTCTCTGCAGGAGGCAAGGTGGCTTCATGGCAAGGGGGAAGAGCCACAGGCTTTCATGCAGGAATTCCTGATTGCTTGGTCCTTGTTCATCTCTAAGGTGCCTGTCTGTTCCAGCCAACAGCTGTGAGGGTGCTCTGACACTCTGGGTGGGTGGAGCTGCTCACTACCTGGACAGCAAGGGAGGGAATTTCCTAGGAAGTGTGGCTTGGGTCACTGCTGACACAGGAGAGAGTGCCAGGAACCACAGCCCCACCAGAACTCTCTGGAGGAGCCACGATGCCACGAGGCAACCACCTGGCATGGCTGGCTGTGCTGTGTGATGGCCTTTATCTGGTGTGGGCAAGAAAAGCAGGAAAATGTGTATGGACCTAAGCAAACTGAGGCAGAATATCTCACACTTAGCCCTGGGAAGGACAGCTAAGAGATCCCTGCTAACCACTAGATGATAACAGAATTCCTAACAGGTTTGACTCCTGACAAGATAACCCTGTAAACAGGTCAGTGGGAGATGGATACACATTATCCTGGCAAACAGGGAACGAAGCAGGAACTTCCTTCCCCCAAGAGGGGATGATGGGGTCCCCTCTGTGCAGCACTGCACAAAGTGGAGCAAGAGTTTCTGAGTGAGGAAAGGAGCTCGGGGAGCTGCTTTTATATGTTGCTTCCTGAAGACATGGTAGGTTTTACCTCCTCCCTGGGCATAGAATCTTTGCTGTTGTACATTCCTTCTGCACCTCACCAGTACAGGAAAGTGCCTGACTTCAGATGCTGCTTGAGGAAATATGAAAAGATGCCAGGGGGAAATGCCAAGTAGGGGAGAGGCCCACAGCTCTTTTTTCCCCCTATTCTTTCTATTCTTCTTCTAATCAGCTATTAAAATAGACCCAACTCCAAGACCCAGGATAAAAACTTCTCTTCAGGGGAGAAAAAAGATAGACTGTTAGTTCCTGGATGCTTGAGGTGCACACTTTGATGGACCTCTTCTCTCAGAGCTGGTTAGTGTGAGGCACTACTGTGAAGCTGGTACAGTTTCTATTGTGAGGTGCAACTGTCCTTCAGCCTCTCTTCCTGAGTTTATCTCCCCAGAGAGCAGGCAACTGATGAGCCCTTTCACACCCCCTTCTCCCTTACCTGCTGATGTACTTTCATTGCCCACGGGAGTGCTGGAGCAGCTGCGGTCCATATTGGAAGATTCAGAGGAGATACCCCCAGGGCTGTAGCCAGTGTAATCCATGTACTCATCTGTTTCAGTGTCCATCATGCTTAGGGGTCCCTGAAAGGAAGCTGGGGTTCCTGATGAGGCTGGGCTGGGTGCCATGCTGCCAACCTGGGGGAGATTTTCATTTCTTGGAGTGTGGCCAATAACCTGCAGCAAGAAAACAGGATAGGGACTTTCTCACCAAAAGCAACATGCCAAGACCAAAACCATCTGTCTGCACGTTTATCTCTCTCTGTCACAGTTCATGAGGGATAGCTGGAACATGCTTGTGAGTGGAACCCATGGCACTGGGGCCAGGAGTGTGAATCTTCCTGCACTGGGAGCTCAGAGCATTAAACTTGGCACATGCATCCTGGTATGTGGATTGTGCTGTGCTCAGAGGCTGGGACTGTTAATCTTGGCACCAGCAGCCTGGTGTGTGGATTCTGATGCATTCACAAACAGGAGGTGTTAATCTTGGCATTGCTACCTTACTGTGTTGGTCCTGCTGCAGGCAGAGACTGGCAACACGACTGCTGCCATGGGTGTCAGTGAGACACTGGGACATGGGGGACACACGTGTGTGCTGTGCCCACATGGAGCTGTTGTGGCCTGGTCTTCTCTGGACAGAGAGCAGAGCACATCCAGACACACCACTAACTGTATGGAGCACTGAGGCATGGGGAAACCTGTGCATTTAAATGCAAGAGGCAGTGGGAGTGCAGTGATCTGGTCAGCTGTGCCACATGCTCTGAGTTGTGGTTTCATCCTCAGTCACTTGTTTGCTGGAGTGCTCCATGGGCTGAGCAGCTGACAGTTCTTAGGGTCAGCCACAGGCATTTAAACAGAGCCAGCTTGTTTCGTCTCCCAAGCCAGGGGAAGTTAAACTAAGGAATAAGAACAAGCAGGAGGTGGCAGGACTGCTGTCCTTCAGAGCAGCAGCTCAGTGCTGCAGATGAAACTCTTCCATTTATTCAGGAAACAGCCAAACCTCATCTGCCAGTCGCTCTCAGTTATGTGTTAGAAAAGCAGCAACTGCCTCACTCTGCTACTTCCTGAGGACAAGGAGTGCCCCAACTAACTCCAAATCAATAAGGGAAGAGAAATTTCAAGACTGGTATTTCTCCCACCCTAGGTGGAACCAGCAAATAATTCTTTATGTGCAACAGGAAATGTTTGCTTTAACCAGCACGTTCAATTCTTCCACATCCTAAGCACTTTAATTTTAATAAGCCAATTGGTGTACATTGAGAGCTGGGAGAAAGTGCAAGTTGTAAATATGAGTATTTCAGTGTTATCCTTCTCAATTTCTCTCTCCATAATTCACGAGGAAAAGCTGTTTACACTAAGCAATGCCTTGATGGCTCTACTCCATCATCTCTCCTCACAGTGTGTAAGTGCAGCCAGGTAAAGCTACCTTGGGTGTACTCTCACACCCCAACAGCATCCCCCAGTGCAGACACTCATCCTTCAGAGTCTGGGCACAAAGTGTCCTGGCACTGCAGCAGCTCTGCAGGCACAGGGGCAACACTGCACGTGGCTCTGCAGCTGCAATAACCAGGAGTTACCTGAGTAGGAACACGGTCGAAGTTCTTCCCCAGCATCCTCCTCATGTGCTTTCTGGCATGGGATGTCATTTGGTGCTTGAGCAGGAAGGAGAACTGGCAGCCCTCTCGAATGCAGTGGAAGTGGCTGTTCACCTGGTTGTATTTGCAACCTGCAGACACAAAAACCCTTTTATGTAGTACATGAAGGTGCTGAGAGGAAACAGGACTCGAGGGAAGGTGATCAGATGGGACAAAGCTGCTGCTACATGGATTTTGGGAGGATTGAACATTATCAGTGGTCATGGGTTTTTCAGGAACTGTCTTGATTGAGAAAAACCACAATCTATTGCCTGCTGAGCAACTGCAAGAGAGGATTACAGTGTACATAGATTTTAGAAGTGAGGCTGAACTGCAGGCTAGTCCCATCCCTCTTTGTTTTGTTATAAAGGAACATTACATCTTGTAGTGCCTAAAGCTCTCCAGTCTTAGCTAGTGTCTCTTCCTTCACAAAGAGAACAAAACCAAGACATTTAGCTGTATCACAGAAGTTACGGTCAAAAATACATCCTCATAATTAGATTAGGAATGAAAAGTTCTTTGCCTTTTTTTTTTTTCCCTTTAACTGTGCTCTCAAAAGAGCATTCTCTTCCCAGCTGTAGCTCTGGACAGTGTGTGCTCTCTGGGCAGATAGGAATGAGCCAGGAAGTGTTTATTGCCACTCCAAATTTGTTGTGTAACAGGGACAGCTACTGCACAACAAGCAATTCGTGTGGGTTCTGGCATACAACACTTCACACGTTCTGCTCCTCGTGGCTAGAGCTGTGTGTGCCAGGAGTGTGTGTATCATTAACAGACAGTCCCAAACAGCCACACTCTACGGCTGATAAAGAATGGTTTGTTCTAGTTCAAACACAGGTTCTGCTGTTCTCCATCCTCCATTGGCCATACCCTTAGACACACAGAGGGACAGACCTACAGACAGGCTCACTTTTACCCATCTATTTACACCCATCCACCTTTACCTAGATATGTATTTTTCATCTCAGTCATACACACATGTATATAATTACACACAGAGAAACATACATCACAAAAATAAATCTGTCCTGTGTGTTTGTTCAGAAACACTCACAGCCCTTAAAGCAGACCAGTGCTTTCTGCACCTGCTTCCTATGCACACACAACACAAAAATCAGAGCTGTACAGAGCCACAGAGAGGAGTTCTCATGTTGGTATAACCACACACCCTATCCCATCCCATCCCACTGCCTCTAGCCACGTAGGCAGACACAGGGTGCTGGCTAAATGCATGTTTACTGCCTATAGGCAGCTGTACATACTGCTGGATGCAGGTACCCCATCCCTCCCCAAAATAAACACTGCTGACACACGCACAGCCTCTCTGCCAAAGGGCTCCTGCCTCACCCAGCCCATCTCGAGCTGACAGCCAGCGTTTCATGTGCATGCCAAGTGTGTGTTTGTTTAGGTTTGCTCTCCCCCTCAGCCCCACCTCTCCTGTCCTCCCCAGCCCCGTGTGCTGTGCTCTGGGGCCGAGAACAAACAGTGCTGCTGGGACTGCAGCAGGAGCAGCAAAGGGCAGGTGAAGGCTCGTCTGTTGCCAGGGCATCCGTGCGGGCTGCGTGTCATATATCAGTGTCCTGCTTTGTCTGGTCCCTGCTATCACCTGAAACACCTCAAGCTGAGTAAATAACAGCAACTGCTGAATCGACTGCCAGGGGTAAATGAGACCCAGGTAGGTGCTGGCTCTGGTGTGTTGACACTCATCACCCTGGTTACCACAAACAAGCTGCCATTTCTTGATGCATTCAAAGCTGAAAAGTTTGGGCCTGGTTCTTGTGGCTGTTTCCCTGCAATGGGAGGGAACAGCACCCAGAAGTGTTATTCCAAATTTTGTTTTGTTCCAACCAGGAACGATAGGGAAGACAGGGTCTGTGACACTGTTGCACCAAACCACAACCACAAGGGTTAAGTGAGTCCCAGGCAGTTCAGGACAGAGCTCTGCTGAAGCTATCCCTAGGGATTCCCCCTGTTCAGAGCCCTGGATTTCAGCTCCAGGTACCTCCCTGGGAATGCATTCTGCTTTCTGTGGTTGTGCATTTGTTTGACACCGCTTTACACTGGAGGCATTTGGATTTAGTAAGTGCTGCAGTGCTGCTGATAGTTCTGGCACATGGGCCAGCCCCTGTCTGAGGCTGTGCCACATCCAGGTGTTTCCTTAGGCCCTGCTCCAGTGGGAAGCTGTTTTCCCTGCTGCTCACAGGGGCTGTGGAGAATGGGTTTGGAGACAGGAGGAGGTTATTGCATACTCTTCTCCATATCTCTCTCTGGTTACTTGCCCTTTGACTCTCAATATGCTGCACTGGCTAAAAGGAAAATAAAAATCCTCCTAAAAGCACCCTTAAATTTCACCCAGCACAGCAGGTCCAAAAGACTACAATGTGTAACAACAAACACAGACAAAAAAAAAGTCCTTGACAATTAGATAAAAAGGAAAAACAAAGGTGAAGCTGACTACTGCAGAGGATTGTGTGTATATATATATATATATATATATATACACACAATCCTCTGCAGTAGTTTCTGTCCATTTACCTTGGTTCTCTTTGGGAAAACATGCTTCAACCCAGGCAGAGCAGCAACTGCTTTCTGTTTTGCTGCCTTTCTTGTTTGGTGATTTAATGACCAAATACCTCTTAAGCATAACTTGCAGGTTCTAACTCATGGCATTCTTAGCCTGGACATGGGACAGACCACATGAGAAAGAGAACAAAACTCACCTAGTCTGCCACATTCTTCCCTCTTGGTGAAGTACTTGAAGCCATTGGCTGCCCTTCTCTCTGCCTTCTCGTGTTTTTTCACATGCCAGGGCAGCTTGGTGGTGATGTTAGTCACAAAGTAGCAGCCAGGACGCAGACAGTGGTAATGCCCTCTCATCCTGAATTCACAGTGCTGCAGGGGAGCAAACAGGCAGGGTGATCGAGGCAGATCTGAAACAAATGCACTCCCATCTGCCTGCTACTAATGCTGTCCCTTGTGAGCCATGAGAGGGGCCTGACCTGACCCTCCAGATCTCATCCATTTTCCCTCCCACGAGCTGCAGAGCACCTCATTGCCCCTTGTGTATTTTGTATTGCTGCTGTGAATTCTGTAATACACTATTTTACACTGACACAGACCCAACTCGTGGCTTTCCCTGGATTCATCATAGACTTTCAGTTTATTTCATCTTGTGTCTCTCATCATTCTGGTTCCCTCGCTCACTTCACCCAAGTCAAAGAAACACAAAAGCATCACACTATCCCCTTTGATAGGAACCAAACGTTTAACTAGCCCATGTAATTAAGACCCTTCCATGGCTCTGTACTTAGCCCAGG